AACGGCCCTGACAAGAAGTCTGCAATATTGCCAACAATCTGACTGCGTCAAGCTAGACATATCTCGCCACTTAAAAAGCGGTCAGGGACAGCTGACCTAAGCATACATAGAAACTAAATATATTAAAAACCAAAAGATTTATTTCATATACATCTATCGTGAATACATTAAGTAAAGGAGCAGGTGCACAACTGTGAAAACCGAACGAGTACGTAAGATAAGAAACGGGAAAAAAGCTGAAAACTAGCAGAGCTGAGCTACCGCTTACAACTGAAACAAATGCGGTCAGACTGAGGCCAGAAAAAACCTGCCCAGAAAAAAACTCCGAAGGGAAGTGAGGGCCGGAAATCTGGGTAGGAACCGAGGCTTAAGCTCACAGCCCTTCCTAAGGGACTGAATGTAATCGAGAATAGGTTGCTCCTAAAAAAAAACAAAAAATAAAGAAAAAACCAAAGAGAGGTTGGTTCGTAAGCCTAGATGACGTACACGTGATAGACGCAGCCTTATATACCCCCGATATGGCTACTCATGGTGCATTCGGCCTAGTACCCAGGCCCTGTTGTATCTCGCGCCGTCAAAATATTTATTTCTGCCTTCTTCGCGGGCTCGAAGTTCGTCAGAAATAACATCTTAAAAACTACATGAAATGTGACTTTAATCTAAATAACACTATACCTCCTTCCTGTAAAGTGAACACTATTAACGGTGCGTATAAGTAACCTTATGATATAGGGGCTGAGTTTAATCTTGATCTGAGAAGGTCAGGAAGCGTCCTTAACTATTTAACCGTACCCTTGCTTAATAACTCCCGTTAATACCCATGAACTTAATTTCCTATACCCACACTAACTTTAAAATTCATCGACACCTTTTTATCCTCCCTTGAGGTTATCTTAACCCCAAAAAAGCGAGTACGTGTTGGGGGAGGGCAGTCAAAGTGGCAACTTATTTCAGGGAGCAGGACGCACGCCAATTGACTACGTGAATCACTTATCCGCCTTTTCCAATCCCAAAAGCCTATACCATTTTTTCCAATGAAATTGGTCATGATTAACTGTAAGAAAACGAACCAATAATCGGTTACAACAAGAAGCACTGCGTATTTCCTAAAACAACTACGCGCGCAGATGTTTTCATTGCCCAGTTCATTTTTTTACTATATTATAAACGCTGGAGACCACAAAGCGGTTAAACTTACTTAGCTCACTAGGAAATGTAGGTTTGCCAAAGTAAATAGTGATTTAACACACAGATAAACTAAACTAAATTTTAGGCTCGCTACAAGAAGAAGTCTTTGCAAAAAAAACATTCACACTTCTTTAGTCATGCGCTTGGTTTTCTGGATTTCATTCCGCCGAGCGGAGTCGGGCGGCTGAAATGAAAACACAGAATATGCGCCTCTGACAAAAACCAAATATACGGAGTGCTAGGAAGAATTTTTATTCAGTCATATTGTAAGGAAAGGAGTCATAATCCAAAAGAAAGTTGGGGGAGCCTCAAGAAAGAGCTTTAAAAAAATCATAGTTTTAATTCGATCCCTGTCCAAAGATAATCCCATGCTGGTGATCATGAACTCAAGGGGTGAAATTTCCTAATTTGACGTTTTATGAAGAGCAAAATAACAGCGATTCTCTAGTTCTTTTTCTAAACTTAGATACACTCCTTTAGAATCCTACTCGAGAAAGATTCGCCAACATTATATATTTGACAAATCCCACAACGACGGCGGAGGAGGGGAATAATAACGCGAATTCACTTTTTAGAGTCACGTTTTCGTCGCCGTTGCCGTTGCCGTCGTGAGCCTGCTTAAATGTCGACGGTTCTGTGGCTAAAGACGAGCCGAGAAGGAAAACGAGAAGAAGCAACGCTAAATCGTGTAGCCGGCTTTTTGCATACAGCTTACAGCTCGCGAAGGTGCAGAGTTTAGTAAATCTAGTACGCCCAGAGTTCATTAGTCTAGCACGCGCAAAGTTTATTTATCCAACACGCTCCACAATGAAAATTTGCTCTTTTGCCCTAACAACGGTATAAGTTACTTAAGGCGGGCTAGCCAAAGGTTATACACAGTGCAAAGAAAATCTTCAAGGTAGGCGTCTCCATGAAGTACCTCATCCCGAGGCTATGGTGTAAACTAGACGCCGGAAGGCGTTCACTGGGCTGCCATGAAAATTAGACTAGACAGATCAAGAGATAGATATATTATATTGTAAGAAAACGAGGAGTTTGCCAGAACGGACAGCTGACGGCCGATAAAAGGAAGTAACTAAAACGCTAAACTGACCAGTTCCCATCCCGTACACCATAAAATCCCGACCCACGAACCCCGTTCAACCGATTCCACAGATTGACTTATAGGTGATCTAATTTATGGTCAACACGATGTGACGGAAGGTTTTTCCACTTTCGAATGACTTTAAGGGCTAAACGGGAACTCGGGGTTTGAACTCTGGAATTCGTCCTCTAAACTGGGGAAGCTAGACTCAAATGGCAACTCGCTTGCTGGTAAAAGCCGTCACAACTCCTAGGACCGGGATCAAATCGCTAACTGGAATGCAGCAGAGAATAAGACAAACCTGACTTGGTTCCAACAGTGTTTATTCTTGTACATGTACTCGAAGCAATCTGTGTAGTTGACAATATAATCGGTGCAATCGAAAATTACTACAAGCTAACTTACTCATACACCATTACCACAGGTATTCAACACAAAAGAGTACAATAGATATACAAACAAACTCGTCTGAAGTTAAGCGAAAATTATTGTTGCGGATTCTATTTTAGGAGTAAAAAGTACTAGGACTATAAACTAGCAACGTTTGCCAAGTCAGCAAGGCAGCTTTTAGGCACGTAATTTTGCTATGTGAATAGAATTGCAAGGTTAGCTAGCGGCTTCCTGGGCACGTAGCAGGATTGTCCGCTAATTGCCTAGTTTTTCACCTTCAACAAAAGCAGACATTTTCCCAATTTGCAGGTCAGCAAAACTTTTGAAATCCTAAATTTAGACGAAGCGACTATTTACGGAAGTAGACTAAGAACCATTATATTTGCAGAGAAACTACGTGATCGCTCAGGAACTTGTCTTCAATGAAAGACGAGCTACATTCACTTGACAAGGTGTTACTGTGAAATGCCGCTCTTTTGTAGAATAAGGCTATTTAAGAAAATAAATTAAAATAGAGCACTATACTATTCAGAAGACCAATATTTTAGAAATCATTACTGAAGTTGAACTACTACTATTAAATATATAAACTTATGAACGAAACGGAAACTCGTTAGGTTTGTTCTGCTTGTACTATGAATAGGCCCCTGTTGGCTTTTGCATGTAAGGTTATTAAGCAAAGCACAAAAAGTATAAAACAAAGCATTTCAAAAATAGCACTAGCCGCCACAGCTGAATGCGGTTCATTGTAAACACAGTAAAATGTCTTGTAAAAATCCTATGGCTAATGCGAAAAGAGCCAAGCTATGAAACTTTAAGCGAACATTCGAAAGCTAAAACTTTAAAATGTCATTAATTACCAGCTTAACACTTCTTATTTAAACACTAATAGCTAATAAACGCGTCCTGACTTCAAAATAAAACACTTTGAGTAAATCCTTCTTATCGCTATAGCGATATACTGTATACATGTATATTTGAAATCTAGCTTAATTGAGAGAAAATACATGAAAGACAGAAAAATAAGGAATACATAAAAATATAATGGATGAGCATAACCTAAGCGTAGCAAGAATGGCTAAGCAAAAAAAAAAAAGACAAAACAAAACAAAAAACAAACAAAAAGACCACAGCATAAAGCTAAGAGCATATAGCATATCATCCACAAAAGAATTGAAGAAAGAGGTGCTCGTTGGTGTTAGATGTCAGAAGAAGAATTTTGCTTAATTTAGGTACAGTTGTTTGACCCTTTTTTAAAAAACAGAGGAGTACTTAAGCGTTAAAAGTCAGGGGTTAGTTCCTGCTAGAGATCTACTGCCGTTGCAGATATTGTTTGTTTGCCAATGTTTGTTCTATAACAGGTCTCATATAGATTGTCTTTTGAAGCATATCTTGTGTTAATATTATGTGAGTGGACGTTTCGGGCATATCGGAAGCAGCGATTCAGTAAAGATTGATGAGAGCTCTTGTTTATGCCAAGCATTAAATACAGTATGTCAAATTAGGTGGCGGGTAATCGGTTCCTGGATGATCAAACGTTACAAACAACAAATTAATGAAAAAATTAACTTAGGCTAAAAGTTTTCAGAATCACAATTGCAATCCTTGTTCGTTTTTTGCTGTGTTATTGATACCTCCTTTTAACGTTTTTAGCGACCATGTTATGTTTCACTCAATTTGGTGGCAGATTTCCAACTGTTTGAATTTTGATAAATTTTGTGACACAGCTCCTCAGGGGCACCCAACGACGGTTTCCTCCTAAATGTATTGAAAACACTTTTTAGGCTATCCAGAGTATACTTTTAGATCTCTAGGAATGGATTCTAAGCGGCGCTATAAACCTTGTATCTGGTTCGGTCGTCCGAGGGCAACTTGAGTCTTTTCGAAATTACAAGGGCTTCGGTATTATTTTCCCGAAAATTTTAGATGCAATTTTAAGTTTTACCGAAATGCATTTTCGAATCCGACAATTTTAGGTTTCCTTTTTCGACGAAAAATAGGCTAACTTGGGGACTAAAATGCGAAATTAAACTCATTAGAAAATCGTATAGGGAATTTATTAGATATGCTAAGAAAATTGTACATAAATGGAACGGTCATCTAGAAATTTTTAGCCTTCTTCAAGCTATAATAGAAAATGTTAGGCAATTTTTGCTTCTCCGAACAGATATTTTACAGAAAAAAGTCGCCGGGTGCCCCTGGCTCCTTTAAGGCATCAAAAGAAGGGCTACCTTACTTGCTATGCGAAAGACTAATGATGCAAATTATGAATAAATGAGCTCGAAGCAACAATCTCTTGACCTCTACCGACATTATTAAAATCGAACGTACCAATGTTTTACTGTAGTGTCAGTCTGCAATAAGAAGTGTTGCTGTTGGTGTCTCCCCATATCCACTTAGCTGTCACTGCGATGCCATTTAGTGTACCCCAAGGACTGTCACCATGGTTTCCAATCACTTTTGCCAAAGGCCAGCTCTGGTCATCAAAATCCGGGGAATTCCATCCGGATGACAGAACGCTGCTGCATTTCCAAGTTTCATTAGTTACCTGTCCGTTGCTAGTGGAGCCGAGTATTCCGAAATATCCATCTCCATAGTCTTCCCCGGCTACTGACAAAACTCGAGTGTTTCCTGGTACAAGGTAGGTGGTGGGGTTTCCCCAATTACTGTCTGTTCCGAGGCTTTGACCGTCAGCAAACATTTCCATTTCATTGTCACAAGTGAATGTTGCGGTGAAATCTTAAGAGAAAGACAAATATTTTTCTATTACGCAGTTTCCTGTTTCTGATTCATAAGGCAGCTTTAGAAATGGCAGCGCTCTAGCGTCGCCATCTTTGCTTGTCGCATTAGTTCATTTCTAAACTTGTACCCAAGGTTACGTACTGATTCGTTCCCTATACCACAAGGGGTGGGGAGAGAGGAGTTTTTAGTGAGATCTTAAAAAAATTTTGAAGGGGGATTATATATTTTTAAAAAATACTTCTTACCACGACACAAACGAATTACTTTATTTCCAAGTGTAAAGAAGGACAGTTATTGTTAGTATACTAAAAATAGCAAATCTATGTTCTTTACTAAGTAAAGCAGCCAGTTCAATTTAAATCCTCATCACCAATTTTACCTCCTGCTCTTACCAATAATTAGCAATTATTGGACGAGGTTGAGCAAAATATCGTGATTTGTCAGTGGCGAGCAGATCAATTATTTGCCGAAGCCGAAGGCTGAGGCAAATAATTGATCTGCGATAACCGAGTTCAATAATTTTTTTATCATTCGATCACCGAGTTTGCTTTTTAAGGAATATCTTCGGGAAGCGGAGCGATCTGCCATTTTCAAGCAAGAGCGATCGCAAAAAGGAGAAAAACATGGTTTCATTTACGCATGAGCAGAATAGTATTTGCAGCCAAAAACTTACCCAAAAACAGTTGAACGACATTGCGCATGAGCACACCATTATTTGTAGGCAGTTATTTGCAGGTCACGTGGTGGGCTCTGGGCCAATGAAAGGAAGAAACTTTTGCATCGAATGATAATGGTATTTATCATCATTTTCATTATCAATGAGATTACCCTGATATCATCACCATCACCATCATTATTATCAAAGTCAGCCCACTTCAAACGTTGAAGTTTACATTCAGCTATTCCCTGATGATTACCAGACTGCCTTGGAGATTGATAAACCCCGACATAGTAATGATGAAAACATCCTTACCTTTTGGCTGGCAGTATGTCTTTCCGTCACCTGTGTACTCGTCGTTACAAGAACACTTAAATGAGCCATCAGTGTTTGAGCATGACGCGAGGCTTTGAAGGCAATCATGTAATCCTTGTACGCACTCATCAAGATCTAAAAACGGTAAAGAAAATCGTCTATTCCCAGAAAAAATGCCGGGAAAAATTTCATGTGATGGGACGGAAAAAACGCAGTGAAACTCGACAAACGACAGAGAGAGAGAGACTGAGAGAGAGGGAGGGAGGGGGGGGGGGTTAGAGGGAGAGATAAAAGACAAACGAGACACTTATTTTGTTAAAAGAACAACATGAAAACTTTGTAGCGGCGGTGAGAAAATAAGAAGGCTAGCGGCCACCAATGAGCGCCACGTGCGCCAGTGAAAAAAAAAGTAAGCAAGGACAGCAAGGACACGTACTACGTTTCGTCCATAAAAAGCTATATGTTATAGCCCACTAGAAGCGGAAAAGGATGGCTTTTTGGCGGCAAAAAAGGATCCAGTTTAAGTCTAGCTTTAACTAGCTAAAGTTGTTTTATCTCGATATTTTCTACCAACTAGTTGGATTTTACTAAAACAATTATTCCCCTGGCCCTCTTGGCCTCTGAGTCAATAGCCCATTCGGCCTTCGGCCTCATGGGTTATTGACTCAGAGCCCATTCGGGCTCGAGGAATAATTTTTAAATATTCTGCGAGCAGGTTCACTTGTGCTAGTTTGGGGTGTTTTGGCGGTGGAGCCACCAGCGCTAGCTGGCAAGAAGAATGGGGCGGAGAAAAGCGAGCCCGCAAACCGACTATTTTTTTTTTAATTTCCTCTCCCCTCCCTCCCCTAAGAGGTGTCAAGATCATGGCTATCCAATAGGAAAAAAGCAAAATGTGAACAGAAATGACAGAAAGTTGCACGAGGAAGTTTGTACTGAATTATTACAAAATATAGTCATGGAAAAAAGGGAAAAAAGCCGTAACAAAAACCGCGAATCCAGCTAACGATTGTTGCCTAGGGGCGTTGCCAGGATTTTTTAAAGGGGGGGTCACAGCAGGGACAACATCCGGGGATCGCCGACTATATATGGTTTATACCGCTGCTCTCCCTCGTGTATCATCGGGCTCAGTCGTATTATCGCGGCATGAAGGTTCATATTAACTAAAGACAAGAGCCGTTGACGAAAATACTTTACAAGAAAACAAATTTTAAAAAAGTGGTCTTTTCAACAATGGTTTTTACGGCCACGATATTGTCATGGCGTTTTTGTAGGTTGTTTGCTCAAAACAAGGCCTACCAAGGGAGGGTCACGGGCACCCCAGGACCCCCCCTCCCCCCTAGCTACGCCCCTGTTGCCGAATATACACATATTTTTTAACGTTTATTCATTCACGACGTTTCAAACTGCGTACTTCTGGTCTTCATTGTAGGCGATTGTGTCGAGTACTAGTGAGGGTGGGCTAACACTTCCCCTTAGTTGCTAGTGATTAGCATTACGAGCCTCATTTATGGTTTCCACCAACCAGGAAAGTGCAACTCGGCAATAGAGGTGGGGTTAACACCCATTTTGGAGCATTATTACGTACTATGTAGCAGGCTTTTTGATAACATTGTCAGTGATCCAAACCATAAATTGAAGGCGCTCCTTCCACCAGACTATGACACTCACGCTATAACCTAAGACGACAGCGCCTTTTTAATATGCCAAAGCTTTGCACGAACAGAGCAGGTAACACTTTTATATATGCGACGTCGAAACAGTCCGGGCTGTAGTTTTATCCCACTTATATTCATGCTTCATATTTTAACATATTTCAATATAAATATGTCATATAGAATTTTTAATATTATCTTAAAAAAATCAGTTTGTGACTTATTACCTAGCATTCATTTGTAATTTTCAAGTATTGTAAAGTTTTTGTAAATAATTTTGGCTGCGATGCAGTTTTAATAAACTATCTATCTATCTATCTATCATACGGTCCGCAGCGGTCCTGCAGCTGCGTTGTCGATAGGTAGTCGTTTAACGAAGTAACGACTATCGCGAAATAACCGATAAACTAGTCTGCGAAGTGGCTTGTTTGTGAGAGTTTGGGGTTGATTTGGCGGTGGAGCCACCAGTGCTAGCTGGCATGAAGAATGGAGCGGGAAAAAAGCGAGCCTGCATGCAGACAGGCTTTTTTTTAATTTCACCCCTTAAGAGGTGTCAAGATACTATCCAATAGGAACAAAGCAAAATGTTAACAAAATGACTAAATATAGCAAAATATAGTCATAGAAAAAAGGGGAAAAAGCCGTGATAAAACCAGCTAATGATTGCTGCCGAATATGTGGCATATTTTTTTAACGTTTAATCGCCTTATTCTTATCACGGGATTCGCTGGCTCCCGCTGACGGCACCACCGCTTTAATATATAACCCCAAACTCGCACAAGTGAGCCTGTTTACATCTGTTTGCATGCCTACGATAAACAAGCGGCCTATCACATGCTATCATGTTGGAACCGATTATAAAGAACCCCTAAAGATGTAACATAAGCTTAACATACACCATAACTGAACTCGAAAAGATTTGTTGAATAGAAGTGCTTTCAAATCAGGTTATTTAGTGCTATCGGCGGAGGGTTTTCGATTGCTTATTTTACCTGTGCAGTTAACGCCGTTTCCGATATATCCTGGTATGCATGTACAATTGTAAGAGCCTTTAGTGTTGTTACAGAAAGCATTGGAGTCGCAGTGATGCTTTCCTGTCTCACACTCGTTAATGTCTGCAAAATAGTAAATAGAATGCATTGATTTATATAGAAGAATACACTTTTTACTCAATGAATCCTTTAATCGTCTGTTGAAATCTTTCGTAGAAAATCATTTTGATGATTACCGTTTTCTTTGATTGCGTGCCACAATAAGGGAAGTGACTAAGCCAGACGACCCACCTCGTCATGGAAAAAGTGATGGTTTGTTCGTTATGTCCTTCCCTACCGACCCACAAAAGGGAATGTGTTTTCCCTGCATACCTATTAACCCCCGGCTGAACGTAAATGTCCATACGTCGTCTGAATTATCATTCGTCTTCACCCCATAACCCGTGAAGGGCGCAGGGGAGAGAGACGCACCCCCCACGGGTTAGGGGGTGGAGACGTGTGACATTTCAGACTAGTCCATACGCAGGTTTTCTGGCAATGCAGGCTTGTTAGGCGCATACAAAAAATTAACGATATCGTCTTATTTTCACGCTCTGAATTGAGATAACAGCCGTTGAGATTTCAGAAGCGTGGATAACCACGATCACACATCGACTACACAGCTGCAGATTAGTACCACTGCAGACCGCATGGATGCTGGAAAACCCACCAACCACAAATGAGGCTCATAATCCTAATAACTAGCAACTACGGAGTAACTATTAGTCCACCCACATTAATACTCGACACAATCGACTAATGAAGACTAGAAGTACGCAGTTTGAAACGTCGTGAATGAATAACTAAGTAACGACTATCGCGAGATAAACGATAAACTAGTCTCCGAGCTGGCTTATTTGTGAGAGTTTGGGGTTGTTTTGGTGGTAGAGACACCATCGCTAGTAGACGGCCTATTTATCTATTTATTCTTAATTTCGCCCCTTAAGAGGTGTCAAGATCTTATCCAATAGGAACACAGCAAAGTGTTAACAAAAATGACAGAAAGTTGCACGAGGACATTTTTGCGGCAGATATCAAAATATAGTCATGGAAAAAAAGTGGAAAACCCGTGACAAAAACACGAATCCGGCTAATTGTTGCCGAATATGCACATATTTTTTAACGTGTAATCGCCTTATTCTTATCACCGGATTCGCCGGCTCCCGCTGACGGCACCACCGCTTTTTTTTTTGACGGACGGGGGTTATGGTAAAACTAATGGATTGTTCGTTATGAACTTCCCTACGTACCCACAAAAAAGAAATGTGTTTTCTGTGTATACCTCCTTTATTAAGACCCAGATGAATGTAAATGTCCATAAGTCATGTGGCGAAACTAATTTTGTACACAGCTTTATCCCTAATGTGCATTTCAAACAGAAATCAGAAGTTTCTGCAGCAAAAAACTATCTTTCATAACGGCTTCAGCGATTATTTCCTATTGTGCTCGAAAAGGGTAGCTTTTATTCACGGACAGCGATCAGATGGTCGGCAAGAAATTCGACCCTCGACAAAAAGATAGACCCTGTTTCTTGCACGTACCAGCCTCCCCATGGGGCTTTTGTTGCCACACAGAGTAGGAATTAATGAAAATGCTTTTATTCTTCTTATCTAGTCCAGTCCAGAGTCCAGTCCTGGATTTCCATCTGGCTGGATAGGTGTTGACATTTAAGCACGTCTTAACCTTACGAGGTCATTATAGGGTAATTAGCTTAACACTAACCAATTTCACATCGATTGCCAGAAAATCCAGGCGAGCAACTGCAGTTGAATGCATTGATTCGGTCGGTGCAAGTTCCGTTGTTTAAACAGGGCCTGCCCTCACACTCGTTTATATCTGAAGGAAACAATAATCACAAATATAAATTGCAAACAACAACAACAAAAAGAAAGAAACAAGAAACCACTTTTACGGAGGGTTCTTTACTGCATACTGACTTCAACGAATTGAAACTTGCGAAAGAAAGCTATAAATGCCAATAAATCTCTTCTTCATATAAAAACAACAACAAGTGAACATGCAGGACCAACACCGTCAGTTAGTGTATAGATTTTCAAGCCGATAAACAATAAAAATAACAGCTAAACACACAGCTCACCAATTTCACATCGATTGCCCGAAAATCCTGGTGGACAATTGCAGTTGAATTCGTTGCCTCGGTCAGTGCATGTTCCGTTGTTTAAACAGGGACCGCTCTCACATTCGTTTATATCTAAAGGAAATATAATAAAAAAAATAACGACTAAGATAAATGCGTTATTATTGGCCAAGTCTTTTTTTTTTTTTTTTTCGGCATTTTCAGGGACCGAGAGGAATTCGAGGTCAATAAAATTGCAAAATTGAAATTAACATACAATTATCCATGGCCAGCGCACCCCAGAGTCTCCCGATAAAAACGATTGTCGGATGATGTCGATGATGTAGGATCCATGTAGGATCGGATTTAAAATTGATCCATATATATAAGTTATCAGCATTCAACAGTATCCAACATTAGGTGTTTAAACGGGATACATAGCATGTTGCGTTCTGGCGGAAATGCGATGCAAATAGCAGCAACTAGTAACTAACCAATTTCGCATCGGTTGCCGGCAAATCCTGGAGGGCAACTGCAGTTGAAGCCATTAATTTGGTCGATGCAAGTTCCGTTGTTCAAACAAGTAATATTGACACAGTCATTTATATCTGCAGGAGAGAGAATCAAAGATACATATATATATATATATATATATATAAAATGATAATTATGTACCTTTCAGCCAAGGTACATTAGACTTCAGCAAGAGTCAAAACACCCAACTAATAAATGTAAACGTTGTTCTAGATGTTGATGGAGAAGGCCTGTCTATAAATAAGTCACTTTATCGATCAAGCAGGGAAATTGACATTTGTGGTCAGGTAACGTGAAGTAAAAGTTCAGTGTGATACTTATTGCTCGACATTTCTTTCAAGGTAGATTTCAAAATCTTCTCAGTTAGATTTTTTTTTATTTTAGTGAGCTCAAAGAATTAAAGGTCAATAATATAATACCTAAAATCAGTACAAAAGCTTTATGCTGATAACCGTTCCCACTTGCAAAGTGCGTTAATTAGTGTGTCACCTGTGATTGTATTACAGTAAGTGGCAACATTGTTTCAACTCATTTCTTACTCGTTTCGCAGTCTTTTCCGGTGAATCCTTCCACGCAGATACACTTATATCCATTTTCCTGGTACAACGAGATGCATTTTCCAGTGTTCTTTCGAGAGTTCTTACAGGGCGAACTGTCACAAGGAGACTACACAAAGGAAAGGATACGGCTGTAACTAAAGACCTTGATTTTATGTCAAAGTCAAAATATCCAGTAACGTGACGCATAACATTTATCCATAATATATAGATTTAGCCAGGGCTAAAAGCGAAGCTCCTATTAACACGAATTTATAATTTAAATCAAACAATAAACTTGCAATTGTATTTTACAAATCAGTTAACTTTAGACCACATTCATGTGACTTTTGAGGGAAAGGCCGCTAAGTGATTTTAGAGAAAAATAATTTGCAAACAGTCCAAGCTAAGAGTGAACGTAATCTTACATCGAGTTGATAGCCTTATGTGTACACCCAAAAAATAGCAATCATCTTCGATCACATTTAAGAGCCATATTAAATGGCTCTTGATCACAGTTGATTAGGCGTGGAAAACAAATTCTCGGAAAACAAATCAGGCCCAATTTTTTGGGTTCGACAACTTTACAATTTATTTTACAAAATCTTGCTAACAAGTCTGGGGACGTGTAAACCAACCTTTTATATTTTTTATACATCATATGAGGTGAAACAGTACCATGAGGCACAGTTTTTATCATACAGACCTCGGACAGATCACAATTTTGCAATACACTGTACTCAACATTCAGGTCGATCGAAGCACGCGTGGGCTTTTACCGAAACCGTTAAAAAAATTTTTTAAATCACCTATACGGCTTGCCGATTCTCACTTTTGACAAGTGCCAAAGTCGACTGTTTAAATCAAGATTAATAGAGTTATACGCTTTAACATGATAAAAAATTTATTATGTTTATTTCTTCATATATTTAACGGTTTTATAACTATGTGTAATCTTCAAAAGCGTTTGATACACGCCGCAACTACTCCTGCAAGCGATGTTCGTGAGCGACGGAAAACAAACGGCACAGCGATTAAAATTGCAAAAGAGACTACTAACAATCAATAAAAGGATAATAATTCGGTGAAACATATACAGAGACAACAATTTTCATTCACGAAGACAAGTAAGAGTGTCTCTGAAAATCCTTGTTTATGTTTTAAGCCGGCTTCCCGGCGTTTGCTTTTTTCAAAGATGAACTCGAGGCAAGAAAATCGCTCAAAGCTTTCTTTTACAGCCAGAATTATAACTAAATATTCTTTGGAACGTTTTCTTTCTATTTGCAGCGAGAAAATGTCTAAAGGCTTTTTAAAGTTCTGTAAGCTTATAATCAAACCTGATACTCGGTCACATCGATCATTGTCTCAAATCTTACAAACGTGCATAAACTACGCCCGACTTCATTAAATTAGATATAAAAAACAAACATCAAATACAATAATTACTCAGGCTTACCGATTCGAGATGCTCTGAAAACTATCAAGTAAGTCCAGAATCGCTTCAGACTTTTCAGCCCTCTTACGCATCAAGCAAGGTGAAAAACGAAAACAATGCCATGCGAAATCGGATTTCCGACTTTGACAAGCGACGTATTTCTAAACCAAAAACCCAATAAACAAACTAGCTATGAATAACAGAAGACTCTTGATAGCAGCAGAATTTCATTTTGTACATTCAGCGGAGAAAGACAGTTAAAAACATCACAAGTTGACACAAAACTCTGTCAGCTTCAGCTGTCAAAGTAAACAAGTTTCAAGATGCTGCATAAATTTTCCGCATAAACTCACCTGTCAAATTTTGACCAATCAGAGCATAAAGATTGGACGTAGAGCGTGACCAACGCGTGACCTTGTTGAGAAAAGTCAAAAGCAACTGGCATGTCTTCCCTGCCTGTAAAAACTGGCTGAATTTTAACTTCCGAGGTCAGTTTGAAATCAAAATTTTAATTGTGCGACACATATAAAACACAACATATTTCATATGAATTAAAAAAAAATTAAACTTGAGCCTGCGATCATTTGAAAACTAGTAACTTGTCAGCGGATGACTTTAAAAAGATACTCGACCTCGATGGGTCTACACCTGAGCCCGCGATACGGTCAGGTGATACTGGTCAGCGGATACCCTGTTTTGACAACTGTCAATTGATCACAACATTGATGTACAATATGTGTGCAATATCAGTCTTCCTGTGCTACCAAACTAGCTAGAAAGTGTGAGATTGAACATTGGTTTTCCTGTGGTGCGGACGGACGGGCGGGCTGCGGGCGGTGTACGGTCACGTGATTACCAAATTTTCTCGGATGGGTAGATTTACTTACCCATGGTGCTCCGCAGGCGCGGTTCGCGCGCCAGAGCTCCGCTATTAGACAGATGCTGAATTTACGGCAAATTCAGTTATTGACTTTCGTCGACCAAGTTGAGCCCCAAGTTTTAGTTACATGTAGCATTAAGAAGGAACCATCAGGAAATGGAGTAATTTCAATTTTTAGTGGACAAAAAAACCTGGTACCAGAATAATTTGAACAAAATCGCTTTCTTTTTTACATTTTTCAAGGGCTATTTATATACAAGTTAGTTAATTGTAATAACAACAAATACTATTTTTATGGGAGCCCGATAAATAAATGTCAAATTTTCACAAAAATTGTGAAAACAAAGGTAAAACTCTGAAAATGTCATGTGTAAGATGCCATTTTAAGAAATTTGACATTTATTTTCTCGTCCTATCATAAGAAATTTTCTTTGGTGTTATTACTCGTCTAGCTAATTTCATCTTTAGTCCTTTAAAAATGTAAAAAAAAGAATGCGATATTGTTTAAATTATTCTGGTACAAGGTTTTTGACCACTGAAAATAAAAATTACTCAATTTCCTGATGGATTCGTTCTTAACACAATTATTCCACCTGCCGGTTGTTGGATATGGGCTGGCTCAGTAATCATCTCAGACGGAGCAAGTGCGAGTGGAATAATTGTTTTATTTAGTGAAAACGCCCACAAAATATCGATTTATCTTCCGGACTTTATTTACTTTTTAATTAGCAAAAATGTTATTAGTCATATCTGTGTCTACGCGAACGGACTGATGAATAAATAAAAAATGAATGAATAAATACATAAATAAATAAAACATATTTATTTAGCGGTGAACAATTGCAAAATTCGTCAGGATTCTACTTTGTTAAACTAATTGGTAATACTGATTTGTAGCGCAGTCACGAAAACTGTTCAGAAAGAACAAAATACGAGCGGTTTGATAACTACAGGTGGAAATTCTAGCTTTAAATGTGCGTTCCTATGGCAATATCAAACAGGAAAGGCAAACACTATGGAGCGAATAAGTCCCCTTGGTCTCACAGGTTATTTTATTTGCATTGCTTCAACAAGCCGGCGTAAATGCGAATTTGCTGTATTAAGTGTGTATTCCAGTAGCGTATTTGTGTTGCAATAATGGTAATATATCAACTATAAGCAGGACAAGAGACACACTGTGAGAATGGAATTAAATTAACCTGGTCTTAGTTCACTTTAAGTAAAGAAAACTAGTCGAGCAGTTTTCTTGTCTTCTTTAGAAGAGGTAAACAACTTCGACCCTTCATCCCTTTGTATTAAGTTATGAAATACAAGTTCGCTTGAATTCTAGTTCCTTCTTCCACTTTTAGTTTGTTTCCTATTTTCAGTGATGTCATTTTATTAATTATTAAGAACCGACAACAGTGTACAATATATTTTAACTCAGCTTATTCAAACAGGGCTCAGATGTGGCCAGCCCAGCCATTCGTTAGAGGTTTTAGAACTGAATTCTGTTTTATGAGCTAAATTTGTGGCCATGTCACCGAATTTCAAGACCTTGTGCTGATGATGACAATTTTGCTCCACAATCGAAAATAATTTGGACAATTTTTGTGAGAGAAATAAGGGATAGTATATCCGGCAGATTACGATAAGACAGGTGTATCAATGCAAGTTAATGGCGCCGAAGGCTAAAACAATAAGATGTATTGAACTTTGAGTAATTTTCAAGGCAAATATGAATCTTGAATTTGAATTTGAATCTGCCTGACATTCGAAGGTAATAGCGATTTTAATTTCATAAAGTATGTCAGGGATTGTTTCATTAGAAATAGGCAGGCGTATTACTACTGAAAAACGCTCTTGGTGTTTTTTTTTTTTTTCCACACAGTTCGATCAGTGCATTGGAGACTGATTATCCAAGCAAAGAGATACGTGTCTTATTTACAAATGCTAACTTCCGAAACTAATAACAAGAGAGACAAATGAGAGGGTTATTTATTATCCTTCCAATGAAAAAGTTGTGATAAATAAGTAGTTTGACTCACCGGAATATAAAAATGATGAAACTCTTTGCTGGCGTTGAACGTATCCGAGTTGTTATATTTGTCCGATGGGAGGAGTTCACACAGAAGTTTGCCGTTGACATCAGGGAAGGCAGCCACGTTGTAAGAAAAACACGATGGAATTTCTAAACAGGCGTAGCCACAATCGTTTTCTTCTTGAATAAGATTCCGCGCAATACTTGTGATATTGAGGTAGGAAAATTCACTTATCATGAAGTTGACATAGACAAAGTTGTTAATGGAACCTTGGCTGAAAGCTGTTCAAAAGACAAAGGGAAAAATGGTAGCTTTAGGAATGTACCGAAAAAAATCAATATTTTCCAAAGGAGCCAGACTACTAAAAATATAGACTGCTTGAACTCAGGTTAGAGTGTTACCTCTAGAAACACTTGGAAGTGTAGTAAAGATCCCTATTACGAAGACATAGTATCTAAGAAGTACTTGATAGCCTTCCAT